GGGCCCCTCTGCCGTCGTGTCCCAGCACTGCAGAGTTAATTCACACAGCACAAACATCAGTCAGCAGCACAGGCTCCCTGGACAACTCCTCCTTTCCAGGGATTTTGATGACATCGCTACAGAAAGGACCCGGGAAATTCACGGTCTCCCACTTACAGGTCAGAGAAGCCCCGAGCGAGGGACTGTCCCAGCTCCATCACTGAGACTGTGAAATAACCCATGCCCCACCACATAGACATGTAAGAGTTACAGTAGCCAGCCAAGACATATTAAAAAGTACCTAAATAGGACTCAGTTTTCTGTATTGCTACAGAGTAATTCATTCTGCTACCAAGTAACACCCACTGAGCTGCCCTTCTGCACTTTAATATTCACCACAGCACAGGACCCTGCTTTGGGAACCATTTTTGCAGACTCCCGAAGCACAGCATTTCTGGAAGACCTCCCAAGACAAAGTAGTCAATAAACAGGCAAACTGTGTAATATTTTATTCAGGTTAATTGTATTTTTATGCCCAAGGACACAGGTAAAAGGAGCACACTCCAGGTGAGCAGGCTGTCGTTCCCGGGATCCCGTGAAGCTCAGATGGCTGCCATCCTTCAGTTATCACAGTACTGTACCTTTACAAGAGACAGCATCAGCACTGTGATAACTGAGCCAGGGCAGCCTGTCAGTCATTGCAGCCCCTCCGTGGCACTGCCAAGCCCAACAGGCATGTCCTCCACCTCCTCATCCCTCACGTCTCCCAAAAACCCCACATCACCCCTCAGGGGAAAGCATGCCACAGTGGCTTTGCAGCTGAGGTTTACTCCAGAAAATTATCCACATGATTGAGGTTTACTCCAGAAAATCATCCAGATAATTAGTGTTATCTTAATGACCAGGTTGGATTCCACAACACAGCTCAAAGTGTTTTTAGTAGCAGCTCCTTCTGGCCAAATCCACCCACACTGGATTTAATGGAGACAGTGTAACCACACCTCTACAAAACAACAGGGGCACCCCTCTCTTCCACCTTAAATCCACTGGAGCCACACAGCAGCATTTGGCTTATGCTACTCAAGTATTGAATGTCATGGACCAGACAGGCAGGGAGTACCATGGCAGCCAGCCAGGTAAGTTGGCAATTTTAGGTCATAGGATCCACATATAAAATTGGGAAATACACAATCCCACTGCAAAGTAGCTAAATTACAAGCTTCTATCAACCTATACTTTATCCTGCTTTGTTTTTTTTCTTCCCTAAAAACAGGCATTGCTGAAAACAACATGGAACAACTTCTACACCCCCCACTTTGCCTAAGGGAATCAGATACCTTAAGTTCTGAAATGGGTTTATAAAACAACAACAGTTTTACATTGTAAAAGTTAATATGTTACTAAGTTTCTTATAAAAGTTCATTTATGATGTGGATGGACTTGACCAGCACAAGTCGCTTTAATGTTTCCACCAGGAGGAAGCAGAAACTCCAGGAGTGGTTTTTTTAACACTAAATAACTCACCTGGCAAAGAACATGTCCTGAAACCATCATAAAGACTGTTTTTAAGAGAGAAATACGTAACATTTGCTGGATCCAGCCACCAAAATGGTGCCTTACAAGTCTGTAACTCCAGAGGGCAATGGAGAGACAAACATGGAATATCCAAGGAGCAGCACGCAGGGGAAAAAAAATATTTGTACATTTTAAAACAAACTCCAAACATACATTACATAAAAAGGGGACAGTCAACAGATTATGCAATACTGACGTAAGATGACACAGATGACTTAAACATGCATCCCAAAACTTTCAGATTTGCCACAGTTTGTGGATTAATCATTAAGGAATTGGCTGTTGGTAGGGAAAAACAACGAAGAATCTGCTAAAAACGATAATAAATTCTGTACATACAACGGTGACTTCTGAAAAGGAAAGAAGCTGCTAACTAATGAACCATTTGCTCTCACTTTGAGATGTTTTTACAACACCACTGGTATTCCAGGTGAAAAATTCTAATGATTTCAGTGGAATGGCACAAGTGTAGGATTGGGAATCCTACATTTCACAGGCTGAGGTGATGAGAGAAGAGTCACCATTCTACAATTTATGCTTTGATCACTGTATTCAGATTTTCCTCCGTGATCCAGCAGTTCCTATCACATCATTTAAAAGAAAGTGAACAATCCCAGCACCTTCTGGCACAACTACTGCTGGAGTTACACATGTATTCCAAGGGCTGGTGCCATTTTCTCTAGAGGATCCAGCTCTTACACCAATACAAACAGTTTGTTGTCTTGCATCTAACACACGCACACACACATACACTGATTTTTGCTTTGCTTCAGCCAAACTAAAGCTACACAAACCTGATGCAAAAAGGTTATGTAGGTTCTCCATTATTATCTGAAAAAAACACCCTTTTCAGCAAAACCCACATTAGTTTTGGAGTCTAGCACACATTTTTGTTCTTGTTATTGCTAAGGCATTGCATATTTCCATATGCTTTTTTTAAAAAAAATCCTCTAGTTTCCAGTGTTTGCTGCCAGTTCTTGCCTTTGAAACCGTCCTAAGTTGGCCTGGCTGGGTTTTAAACTCCAGCTCCACCTCCTGCCCCTTTGGGGCTGGCGATTATACCTGTTTTTTCCACTTGTTTCACACGAACCAAAATTCCTTCAGCACCACACCGCTGGGATTGTGGATGCTCCCTGGCCACAGCCCCAAGGCTCGTCCCTCCCCACCCCTACGCACAGCTCGAGGATCCTCCAGCTGCTCTCACCCTGCAGAAGCTCGGGTAGAAAACCTGATTTCCATCTCGGTCAGCGCGATCTTAACACAAATCTCTGCGAGCCTGAAGAGGAGAGAAAACAAACAGCTCGTTACGAGCGAAGACGGTGACACGGCCGCGGCGGCGGGGCTACGAGGGGTGAGGGACCCCGGCAGGTCCCCGGGCCGCCACCGCCGCTCCCTCCCAAGTTTCCTTCCACGGCGCTTCCTGGGGTTACCTGGAGCCTTGGAACAGCCGCGGGACAGGACGGGACGGGATGGTACAAGAAGCGGCGCAGCCCCAGCCCCGCTCCCCTCGCCCCTCGCCAGCGCCGGCCGGGACCCACCCGGGGCAGGGGGGGCGGCGGCCCCGCCCGCGCCCACACCGAGAGCGCGAGTGCGGCGCGGGGCAGCGGCGCGGGCCGGCCCCAGTGGCCCCGCGGCCCCCCCGCCCGGCCCCCCGCCCCGCTCCAGCCGTGCGGGCGCCGGGCCGGACCCACCTGCGGGCCGGCGGGGCCGGGGCGCGCCATGACGCAGCACGGGCGGCGGGAGCGTGAGCGCCGCCATCTTCCCGTGTTTATGGCAGCGCCGCGCGCGCACGTGACCCGCGCCCGCTTCCGGGGGCGGCGCGGGGGGGGGGAGGAGGAGGGGTGTGTGCGGTGCGCGCCCCCCGCGGGAGCGCGGGCACGGCACGGCCCCGGCACGGCCCCGGCACGGCCCCGGCACGGCCCCGGCACGGCCTCCGCGGTGTCCGCGGCAGCGGCGCCCGCGAGTGTGACACGCGTGTGCACGGGCATGGCCGTGCACAGACACGGGGGAGAGCCCACCCGGACAGAGCAGGGAGTGACACAAACACGGAGTGACACAGACACGCGGGGAGTGACACAAACACACACACTGGGAGTGACACACAGGGAGTGACACAGACACATGGAGTCAAACACACACACACGCTGGGAGTGACACACACACACGGAATGACACAGAGACACACAGGGAATGGCACACACACACGGAGTCACACACACCACCCCCCGCGGTACCACCAGCCCCTGAGCACCGCGGGCTGTACTTTGCGGTCTCTGTCTGGGCTGTGCGTGTGCAGCTGCGATCGCGCGCCGTGTATGTGCGACCATTTCCAGCCTGTTTACACGCCGTGCATCCTCTGCGGGCTGTGCGTTCTCCGGCTGTGCATCCACAGGTTGTGCCTTCCCCGGCTGTGTGTTTGCCGGCTGTTTGCAGGCTGTACCTCCACAGGTTGTACCGGTACCATCGCGGGCTGCAGTTGCCGGCCGTGTCCGCAGCCCGTGCGCTCCCGCCCCGCTGTGTCCGCCCCGGTGGTCGCGGTCCCCCGCGGCCCCCCCGGCTCCCTGCGGGCACGGCCGTGCCGGGCGTGCGGGACGTGCCCTGGGATCCCGCGGAGCCGCTTCTATGGGCGGCGCGGCTCCGGGACCTCCCGCCGCTGTGCCCGCCCCGCGCCGAGCCGGGACGTGCCGAGCCGAGCCCAGCTGAGCCGAGCCCAGCCGGGCAGAGCCGCGGGGGCCCCGTCGGGCCGCGGGGCTGCGCGGGCGGCTGCGGGACTACAAGTCCCAGGGTGCCGCGGCCCGAGGGGGCGGGCGGCGGGAGCGGAGCGGCCGCGGGGCTCCCCCCGCCCTGCTGATGTGTACGGGCGGTGCGGGGGGAGCGGCGGGCGCGGGGCCGGGGAGGCTGACGCGTGTACTGCCCCGCACGGCTCCGGCAGCCGGAATGGCCTCCAAGCTGCTGCGAGCCGTGGTGCTGGGGCCCCCCGGCTCGGGCAAGGGGACGGTGTGCGAGAGAATCGCCCGCAGCTTCGGGCTCCAGCACCTCTCCAGCGGGCAATTCCTGCGGGAGAGCCTCGGCGGCGGCGACGGTGAGTGCCCGCGGGGCCGCCCCGTCGCGGGGAGCGGCGGGACCGGGATGTTCCTGCCCCGCGCATCTTCGACGGGGCAGCGATGGCGATGGGATGGGGATGAGGACAGGGTAGGGATGGGGATGAAGATGGGAGTGGGATGGAGATGGGGATGGAGATGGGATGGGATCCACATCCCCCCCACACACCCCCCGGATCGACCACAGGTTGTTTTCTTTCCGTGGATTTGGCACAGCTTATTCATTGCCTTCTCCCTCCAGCCTGAGCTGACGGAGCTGCCCGATAAAAGTGGGGTCTGATGCCGCGGGTGCCGTGGGTGTGCGACGGTTTTATCCCTGTCCCAGGTGATTAAGCTCCGGAGAGGTCGGTAGGAATAACCCACCTGCCCGTGCACTGATGGTTAACGGCGGCGTGTATGTGTTATTAATAACTTCATCCTGCCTCAGGTGGCTGTTCAGGGATGGGGGAAAAACCTAAAGCGGTGGATGGCAGATGGCTGGAATGCTGGTGCACGCTGTGCCCGCACAACACCCACGGTGGGAGGGATGCGTTGGGAACACGCATTTGTCCACAGGAGAAACCCTGCTGGGAATATTGCTTCGTGTCGTGGGGTGCTGTGGCCAGGGGCTGTGCTGTGCTGTGCCCTGTGGCTGGGCTGGGGGTGTTACAGGGTGCTGGTGTGTGCTCCCCACTCCTTATGAAACTCCTTTCCAGAAGCAGGGAGCTGGAGGAGGTGGGTGTCAGTGCCCACCCCTGCACAGGTTACCCCCTCGAGACTTTTTATTAGGGCTGGCAGCAATCCTGCGTATCCCATGTCTGACATCCAAGTGCAAACCCCATGGGAGATGGGATGTGCTGTGCCCGTGTCCCAGGCTGCTGAGGTGCTCTTGGTTCTGGTGAGGCTCTGGAGCAGCCGTGCTGCCCCCCAGCTCCTGCTCGGGTTCCTCTGCAGCTGCCATTAGGCAATCCCAGTATATTTCTTTTTCCAGCAGTTCCTTCTCTCCTTTGCTAATGTGTGAAAGACCGACCCGGGGGAAGCTGACTCATTGGGCAGAGGAACGGTGAAACGGTGTGGAGACAAAACAAGCCAGAGAACATAGAAGTGATTTCCCTTTTTAGAAGGGTGATGAAAACAAGGAGAAAAATTAGGGAGGGTGAAGTTTTGGAGAGGTACGTGGTGCAAGGGCGTTGCACACAGCCCTGTGCTGGTCACTCATGTAAAAATATCCAGATTTCCTTTGGTAAATAAAAAGGACAATAATATTTCCTTTGGAGGGAGGTTGAAAAGTTGGAAAATCTCGATGAGGGCTTTGGCTGAAGGACAGAAAGATGGGGTGAAAAGCCAGCAGAGGTGCAGCGTGTGGAGAGGCGCAGCGTGGTGAGACCGTGCCCATCTGGGAACTTCCACAATCAAGTTCTGAATGAGTCACTGTCTTGAATTTTATATTTCAGTTAGTGCTCTTGCTGTAGAGCTTCTCTGGGGACACTGGAGAAGGAAGAAGGGGCTGTGAATGGAGTTAGCTGAAGGTGTTTCCCAAAGTGTCTCGCATATATTCAGTATCCCAAAGGAAACAACACAGAGAAGTGCAGGGAAAATTACTCAGAAGGAAACCAGCCGTACGTGTGACATTCGGGTCCCACCTTTGACTCAGCCTCTGCTTACAGCTCTCAGTAAGCTCCAGCTATTTGCTATTTTTTTTTGCTATTTGCTTTGGACAAGCCGTTACATGACTGTGCTGCTGTGTGCCAGCTCTGGGGGAAACCAGGTGGAAGTAGATTCTCTTCCCAAGTTTATAAACTGTTCCACTGGCTTTGCATTGTGGGGGAGCTGGGGCTCTGCAATACCAACAGAATCATTACAGGCTCATCATCCCAGAGGGAGCCATGAATCCAGTGTTTTTAGAGAGTCAATGCACCAGGGATTTTCCTGCTTGCCAGTGCGAGACATAAAGTGGCCGTGGCTGAGGGTTCAGGCTGAGGGGGCACAAAGGGCTCCAGCTGCCGGAAGAAGCTGGAGAACCCGGCATGGAGAGCATTCCAGGCCCACTGCTGGTGTCCATGTTGGCATTCTCAGGGAACAAGGACTTCACAGCCAGACAAAGCCGCTGAATGCGTGGCTGCTCCTGAAGGGCTCTAAGGTGTGCTACAGCAACCCTGAAGTGCATCCGCTCCTACCCACGTGTCTCTTAATTAGAGTCTCTCAGTGAGTGGCTGCTCTGCTGTAGGAAAAGGCCTTTTCAACATCTTGGAAGTCTTAGAGGCTGTGTTTTTGGTGCTAGGCAGGGCTGCTGGAGGGTGGTGAGCCATTTCCTTGGCCAGTACTTGCCCCGGAACCTGAGTGGTCGTCTTTGGTGCTAGTGGCATTCCAGGCTCCAGGACTGCAGTTAATTTGGAAAACAACTTAATTGGCTTTGGCTGAGAGTCTGTGAGTCTTATGTCTGCCCTACTGCTCCCTTTCAGGTGCTTTGTTGGAGGCAGAAGTGGTTCCTATCCCTTCCTCGTGATGGATTTAATTTGTTAGCATCCACCAAGGTACACACAAAACAAAATTCCAAGGGGGATGTGGGTTGGCCCCACAGTCCTTCTCCCACCTTTCCCAGTTTTTTTTGCTGGCAGAGCCACACTGTCCTGGTTGGTGGTCAAAGCTGAACTCAGGGGATGCAGCCTGCTAGCCTTCTGCTTTTCCTTGGGGTCCCTGATATATCCCTGTGTGTGGGAGCAGCTGCAGTGCTCTGGCCATGGGGTCTCCCCCAGAACTGGCTGCTGCCCTCCAGGCAGATCCTGCTCTCCATCCAGTGTCATGGCCTGAATTTGGGGCCGGTCCAGGCTCCAGCTCCCCAAAATGACATCCTGATGCTGAGGACAGGGTTGGAACAAGGCCCTGGATTCAGTATCTGTGTCAGGAAAAAGGTCCTGGGGTCCCAAAACTGGGGTGACATCTGGTGTGGCTTAACTGCAGTGGAGCACAGACAACTGTCACTGCCCTGTTCGCACCCAAGGTTTCTCCTCTCTGTTAGTCCAGATCATGTTGCTGTAGCCTAAATAATAGGAAAAAAAACATGCTAAAGATTTTGCCATAGGGCAGAAAGTCCGGGGTTATCATGCAGGGTCTGGAGGTTATCATGCAGGGTCTGGAGGCTGCCGAGTGCTGTGTTTGGGAACAGCCTCTCCTCCAGCCTGTCCTTCCTGGCCCTGGGAGGCTGCTGTGTGGATCGTGGCCTCGGGAGTGGGACACGTCCCTCAGGGCTGTGACTGTGTTGCTGTGATAAAGAGGGACAGATCAGGGCCACGTGGGGGAAGCCACTGAGAGCTGGAAGTCCCACGAGTTAAAGGACAGATTAAACCCATGGTCATTAGATTAATGGGATTAATCTCATGGGTCAAAAGGCTGGGTTTGAGCTCAGCACAAACAGCACCTAAGGAGCCCTTTGCTACCTGGAGTAACTGCAGAGTAATGCCTGCACCCCCTCTATGCACCCAGCCACAGCAATGGGGATTTGGTGCTGTGCGGTTCCACAGGGGTGAGTCCCAGCTCCTCGTGTTGAGGGACTGCGATTTTCCACCCTGCTTGGGAAGGACTGCCCAAACCCTGCTTCCCTCTGGCCTGAGGCTGGGGAGGGCTGCATTGGGGTGGAGTCTTACCTGGAGCAGGCTGGGCTTCAGGACTGACAACTGGTGGACTGGGAAGAGGATAGCAACTGTTCAACTTGGAGTTAAAGGCTGCCTGGAAGAAACTCCAAGGGCTGTGGCTGCTGGGATAATGCATTCCAGCACATCCTGGGTATTGGGGGTCTGGAGACTGGGCAGCTCTGCAGGTCCTTCATGTAAAATCCATGCCTGTTCCTCCTTAGAGAGGGAAGGGGTGGCAGTGCTGCCTGTACTTTGGAGGAGGGAGAAGCTCCAGGAGCTTTCTGGAAGCAGTCAGCACTCTGTGCTGGTGTGTGGACCCCCACGGTAATGCATTCCATGTCCTCGTGCTGGTGTGTCCCCCCGGCACACACGGCAGGCACAGAGGAGCAGCATTCCCAACAGCAGGAATTGTCCATCACAGAGCAGTGGAGAGCTGACCACCCGTATCAGGGGCGTGGGAAAGCTGCAGCCTCTGGGATGCAGGACTGTGGGCCTGTATTCCCAGACTGTATTCCCAGCCCCAACTGGGGCTTGGTGTGTTTTGGTTTGCAGCTCCAGGCCCAGCTCCAGCAGCCCTGCCGAGCCACAGCTGGTCCCTCGGATGGCCACCCCTCCTCGGGGTGACAACCAGACCTTCTGTGGCAGCTGCAGCCTCTGTGGTCACCGGCTCTGCCCCAGGAGCAACCCTGCCCTGAAGACATTCCTGCCCCGGGAACATCCCTGCCCCCGGGATCAGCCCTGCCCTGCCAGGGAGCACGTTCCCTTCGAGCCTCTGGCACTGTGCAGACCATGTGAATAAATATCAAACCATGTAGGCAGATGCAATACTATTTCTGCCCTTGCAGGTCTCCATGCCGGTTGCATAAGTGTATCGTTTCCATCCGTGAGTCCCTTGCTTTCCCGAGCAGGATCACTGCCGGCAGCGCCGGTGACGTCTGGGCAGTGACAGAGAACTTGTCATTGAGAAAAGGTGTTTTCTGCCCTCAGTTCCTGGCAATCACTGTGGCCCTGAGCAAAGAGCTGCTCAGCAGGGCGAGCTGGAATGCCTTTATGGATCAGAGGGAGTGGGATGTGATCCCGGTCCCTGCGGTGACTCAGCCTCGCAGACCGGTGAGTCAGCGCCGGCTGCCTGCCCGTTCCGAGGCAGGTTGGATTCTGGATTCCAAAATTCTTGATTCTTGGCCCCTGGTCCAAGAGGAAAGGGGCTGGACCTCTTCTGGTGTCAGGAGAAGGACTTGTCACGCACAGTGGGAAAGAATATTTGCATTTTCCCAGCAGTTTCTTTGGATTTTGGATTCAACCCAGGAGCCCCACCTGCCCTGCTTTCCAGCCAGGCATCCTCTGCATATCATTTTGGGAGTTCACAAGGTTTCCTGCACACACCCAACCCCATACTCCCAGGGGGATCTGTTTGGGCTGGTTTCTCCCTTAGATCAGATGAATTCTCTCCAAGAACTGTACAGCTTGCAAAAACCCCCTCCTGCAGCTCAGGAATTCATCCCACAGCCAGGTGCACATGCTGCCCGCTTTGACATCTTGCTGCAGCCTGGAAAACCAGAGCCTGCCTCAAAATGCAGGATCCTGTGGCTTATTTTTAGAGAGGACTCATACTTTGAGAGGGCTAAAATGTGCTGTCCTCACCAGAAATCGTGCAACAAACAGATTGCAAAATTGTTCATTTCTGGTGACAGCTGCTGTGGGAAGAAGAGAAGGTGTCTGTCACGTCCTGGTCCAAGGGGAAAGAGACTGGACTTCTCCTGGTGGCAGGAGCAGGACTTATCACACATGGGGGCAAAGAATATTTGCATTCCTCAAACAGTTTCCTTGTGTCTCCAAGTGGCTCCAAGAAAATCACAGGCAAACTGTAATCACGGAATGGTTTGGGTTGGAAGACCATCTAAACTGGGGAGGTTGGAACAAGGTCCCTTCCAACCCAAACCAGTCTGTGATTCTATGATCTTCTAGTTCCACCCCCTGCCATGGGCAGGGACACATTTCCTGAGCCGAGATTGCTCCAAGCCCTGTCCAACCTGGCCTTGGACACTTCAGGGACGGGGCAACTAGGGCTTCTCTGGGCAAACCGTACCAGGGCCTCCCCACCCTCACAGGTAGGAATTCCTTCCCAATTTCCCATCTAACCCTGCTGTCTGTCAGTGAGAAGCCATTCCCCTTGTCCTGTTACTCCAGGCCCTTGTCCAAAGTCCCTCTCCAGCTTCTAGGAGCAGCTGAAGCCGAGTGATGCAGGAGCCAGGCAGAAGCCCAGGAAGGAGTGTTTACCTTGCAATTATACGTCAATTATGTTCTCAAGGATTTGCTTTTGGGAATAACTTTCTTATCGGAGCATATCTTAAGTAGAGGCTCTGAAATCTTCAAGCCCTGTGGGTGGGAAGCAGGTTCAGTGTCTTCAGGACATTTCATACCTGTGCCAGTGTCATCTGTAACTGCACTGGATCCATTTCCTGAACCAAAGGAGCTCCATGTGTTGGCACATCCAGCTGGTGCCAGTGCCCCTTGCTCTGTCAGCCAAAGGCTTGGCTGGGATCACCACGTTCCTGCTCTCAGGTATCTCAGGTATTTCCATTTCTCCAGCACCAAAATGACCATGTGGCCCCAGCTACCAAGAGCCGCTGTGAGCAGAGCGATGGATGAGCCATTTGAGAGGACAGGCAGGATTTGAGGGGGAGCAATATTTTTTAACTGGAAATGTCATGGGGTTTTTTTATTGCTCTTGGGTTTTTTATTTCTTCTCTTGAACAGAAGTTGGTGTCTTGGCAAAGCAGTACCTTGAGCGAGGCCTTCTGGTGCCCGACCACGTCATCACACGCGTGATGATGACGGAGCTGGAGAAGCGGCGGGAGCAGCACTGGCTGCTCGATGGTGAGTCCCCTCTGGACAGGAAAACGCCAGCCCCCCTCAAAACATCATCTTGCTGCTAATGGTTTGGCAATACCAGGAGAGAGAAAAGCCAGAAGGTGCCTCTGCTGGTGGAGGGAGGGGAAGCAGGAGCCCTCAGGGGCTGGGCAGGGACATCTGCCTGCGGGTCTTTCTTCCCCCTGCCTTTGGCAGTAGCACGTGCATGTCCAGCTGAGCCTTTGGCACGCGGCCGGGAAAGGGAAAGGCAGGGAAACGGGATGGGTTGTTCATGAAGCAGAGCCAGAGAGCAGAGCAGAGCTGGAGACACGCCAAGAAAAACCTCTTACTGCCTCAACATGTGTGTGAAGTGGTTCCTCAAAGCCAAAAGCTACCTGAGGTGGAGGGGGAGGAGATGCTGAGAGCAAACAGGTAAGGCCAGGTGTCCTTTTCCATGGCAGCAGGGTTGGAACTGGAATCAAACAATCACAGAATACCAGAAGGGTTTCGGTTGGGAGAAACCTTAAAGCTCATCTTGTTCCACCCATTGCCATGGGTGGGCACACCTTCCAGTAGCTCAGGTTGCTCCAAGCCCCATCCAACCTGCCTTGAACACTTCCGGGGATTTGGCAGCCACAGCTTCTCTGGGCAACCTGTCCTCAGAGGGAAGAATTTCTTCCCAATATCCCACCTAACCCTGCCCTCTGGCAGTAGGAAGCCATTCCCCCTTGTCCTGTTCCTCCAGGCCCTTGTAAAAAGTCCCTCTCCATTTTTCTTGTTGGCTCCCTTCAGGTCTTTAGGGTCCCTTCCAACCCAAACCATCTTGGAATTCTATGATTCTGAGCTCCCAGCTACTCACTGGCTTTTCCAAAGCAAAGGTACCACCCACCACCTTCAGAGGACAGGACCATTTGATCACAGTGTCCTTGATGCCCTCCATGTAAACCAGCAGCTTGTCCCTTATCTATGTACAGCACTTTGTTTCCTTCAGGTTTTTGCTTGTAATTCCAGCATTTCTTCCTGTTTTGCTGTTGCCTGTTCCCTCCTACTTGCCCCCAGCCCCCATGCAGGGACACCAGCCACGTCTTTGCAGGAAAATCTGAGCCCACAGCGACCTATGTGTCATATTTCAGGAGCTGGTGCTGTGGGAGCTATTTTTTATTGTAGCCATATGGTGGTGTCTGCCTTTCACACCACTTGTGCTACAGCACAGGGAGGAGCTGCAGTGGGTTTGCAGCTCTGGAGCTGCGTGATGGATGGGTTTGGTTCCATTCTTGCTGCTTTCCTACCTCTCATTCCAGCCCCTTTACATTGTGGTGACTGCACAGGTTTTCCTCGCACACTGGGACAAGCCAAGGCTCTGGACAGGATCTGTGAGCTGGACCTGGTGATCAGCTTGAACATTCCCTTCGAGACGCTGAAAGATCGTCTGAGCGCCCGCTGGGTCCACCCGGGCAGTGGGAGGGTCTACAACATGGACTTCAACCCCCCCCATGTCCAGGTAAGAGCCCATGGAGCCAGCTGGGAATGATCCATGAAAGGAAAAGATCAGACAAGCTTTTCTCTTCATGAGCTGGGATCCTGAAAAAAGCATTGAGAGAGCAATCCCAGGTAGTAGCACTGAGCACCGATTTGCCTGATGAGTTATGCTAAATGTTAATAGGAATATGGGATTTATGCTAAATGCTGTCCGAGATGGTGGATGGATGCAGAGCAGGATGAGGTGTTTGTCAGGGAGCTCCAGTTGGATGATGGGGCTGGTGGCCACATCCGCTGATGGTGTTTCCCTCCTGCAGGGCATCGATGACCTGACGGGAGAGCCCCTGGTGCAGCGCGAGGATGACAGACCCGAGGCTGTGGCTGCCAGGCTCAGAAAGTACAAAGATGCTGCAAAGCCTGTAATAGAGTTGTACAAGTGAGTTGGACCATGAGAAAAAAATCACAGCATGCCTGTAAAAACAGGCCCGAGTGCTGTTTCGCCAGCCCAGTCCTGTGCCCACATCCCCACAGCCCCAGGAGCCCCAGCACGGCCCCAGCAGATTTTTGGGATGCAGATCACTGTGCTCAGCAGCACAAGCCCAGCCTTTCATTGCAGCCAAGCCCTGGCCCCGAAGGGGCCTCCCTTGGAGGGAGTAGGTTGATCTAAAGGAATTCACAACTCCTGTTTGTCTTGCTGGGCTCCATAAAGAGCTTTGCCAGGGCTGGCAATGGGAGGGATATATTGGCTGTAGCAGAAGGCACAGATCCAGGGTGGTCCATGCCATGCAAAAATCAGTCCAGGGCCCTGAGGAGTTTGAGAGGAACATGGGGTGGTTGGCAAGAGGGCAGGAGAAGGGCAAGACTGGTGCTGGCTCAGATGGGTCTGCTGGGAGCAGAGGAGTGTTTCAGGGCTTGTCCCCTGGTAGTTTGGGGCAGTTGTGCCCTGGCCAACTTGGGAATAGATGGATTAACATAGGGTGACGATCCACTGCTGAAAAGGCGCGAGATCCTGGGAGTGTTTTTAAGTGCAGAAGTGCTCCCTGAGGGGCCAAAATCACCCTTGCAGGAGAGGGGGGAGAATCACAGAATCCTGGAATGGTTTGGGTTGGAAGGAACCTTAAAGACCATCTTGTTCCATCGGCAGGACACCTTCCACTAGGTTGCTCCAAGCCCCGTCCGACCTGCCTCTGGATACCCCTGTCCACGGGAAGGCCGGTGCTGACCTCTTCTCCCATCTCTTTCCAGGAGCAGAGGCATCCTTCACTCCTTCTCGGGCACTGAGACCAACAAAATCTGGCCCTATGTGTACACCCTGCTGTCCAGCAAGATCCCACCTGTCCTCTCGGACGAGGAGAACTAAACACTTGTGCCAAGGACCAGGAGTTCACTCCACCATGGATTTGGTTCCTCTGTGCAGTGCCAGGGCTGTGCTCAGATTAGGTGATGGTGTACTGGATGCCATGGGGGGGTGCCAGTATAGCCAGTGTCAGGGTGAAAGGATCTTTGTTTATAAGGTCAGATTTGTTAGAATAAGGGTTTTTTTCCTCTTTTGAGGCTATAAATTATTCCTGCCTATGGTCCATCATGGATCAGTGATGCAGACCCAGGTAATGATCATTCCAGGTTTACACAGCTTGCCATGGTGTCCTTGCCACCCCATTCCAACCCCCAGTCCCTGTTTGAGCCTACAATGTGCCATCCTGTTGCTCCACAGGACTATTTACTGCTGAGTACTCTCTAGGCTGAGTTTTCTTTCCTATAAATTATTTTATATTAAATTTATTTCTTAGAGAAATAAAGCTCTAGAAAGCAACACTTAGCCCAGTGGGAACTGGGGAGCAACATGGAAAACGTGTATACTACAAAGCTCAGAGATGTGAAGATCACATTTCCAGCATTAATATACATAAAAGAGGGAAAACATTGGAGGAAAAACACACACTTGTACTCCTTCCATAGAGAGAGATGAATTCCATGTTATAAAAAGCTGCTGTAAAGTCTGGTTTTTTGGAATGCTGTGAGACTGAGCAGGATCTGGACTGGGAATGAGTAGCACTCCTTTGTGCTTACCTTGTTTATAGCTTTTAATACTACAAGATAGTCATGTTATAAGAGTTTCTCCCGAAGATTTATGTGTGCTTCAGTTTTGGGGAGAAATCAACTCATTCCATCTTCTGTGCTGCCTTCGTCCCTGAGGTCTCCTGGCCATGGGGGTTCCCTAAGCTGTTCCTGCTGTGGCTGCAGCATCCCTGGCTAAATGACTCCCTATCCATAAAATCCCAGAGATCCTTCCTTTCCTGGGATGCATCCAGGGGCTGCCGAGGTGTTTCCTCATGATTTACAGCACCATTGGAGTGTGTTGGGGCCGGGCAGAGTCACTTTTCTCAACTGGAAGTACTGTCACCCTCTTTGGTGGTGGGATGCAGTACCTAAGCAATGGGGACATTCCCCCGTCTCCTCGAGTTGCCTTATTTTATAGCCTATATATTTAAGAAAAAAAAAAAAAAGCAAGATGTGTATTTTTAAAGGTTTAAAACAAACAAAAAGCGCTGAATTTTAGCATTGTCTTTTGGGATCTCTGCAGGGAGCTGCTGGATCTGCAGGATGAGCTGTCTGCCAGGGGTGCTCATAGGAGGGCACAAACCTGTCACTCCCTGCCACCTCTTTGATTAATTAGAGCAGCCTGGGCATGTTTCTGCTGCTGGACTGTCACTGAGTTTACTTTTGCTTGGAGAGTGGCCCTGCAGCAGGAGAGGGGGAGTGGTTTTTTAGGGATGCATGGGCTCCACACGTGAAACTTCAGCACACTTCCAGGTTTATTTATCGCAGCTGAGCCTCCTCTATCCTTGTGCTGTTGGAAGAGCTCCTGATGTTTGCTCTCTCTGTCAGAGCCAGCTTTGTCCTGGTTCTCTCCCACCAATGGAGCCAGAAGGGGCATCTTCCAAACACCATCACTGCCCATGTGCCACCTGCTCATCACCTGTCTGTGGGTGAAAGCAGTGCCAGGGGAGTGCTCCCACCCCACTCTGGGTGGGAATTTTCCAGATGGGAGCAAAGGGATTGTCAGGTTTCACTGTTGTCCCCAGGGGCCTTTCCTTTTCCCTGGAGCTCCCCTGCTGGGAGGCCACAAATCTTCCACCCCCCAATGAAATCCTCTTTAAGAAAGATTTTAGATTTTCCCATGACCCTCAGACGAAGGTCTGGGCTGGTTTTAACACAAATCTAGAAATAGCCAAAATGTGTGTGCTGTTTTCTTTCTAACAGCATTGGGCACGAGGGGAGGAGATGATGGGGGGTGGAGTGGAGTTTTTTAGGCTATAAAAGCAGCCTGGCCATGGTGGGTGGCTCTGCCAGGGCTGAATGCTGGGCAGTGGAGCTGCTCCCTGTTTTGCCTTGCCCACCTCTTGTGTCTCATCCTTCCCTCCTGCAAAATTCCTTCTGAAGAGAGACTTCTCCCATGCAATGCCCAGTGGCAGGACAGTGTTTGCAGATGCCTTTGCCCCAGGAGAGCCACCTGAGTGCTTCTTTTCCAGGCTCTGAGCCCTATAGTAGGTATAGAAATCCCGTGACTGTGGGATGGATTTTTCTACCAGACTTGTCGTACGATGCGTTTTCATAGACCAAATTCCAGCAGGGATGGGGTCCCATCCCTCCCATCCCCCTCACCCTCCCCTTTGGTACTTAACTGTGAATCTTAGACCTTTTGTAAAGTGACAGCAATTTTGTACTGACCTGAGATACTGTGTGGTGGGAGGAGGGTCTCCCCCATGGAATGTTAAGCTGAGTTTTCTTCCTGGAGTTTCTTCCCGGTGAATCGCTGCAGCTCTGCTACTGCTCAAACGATGTAAATAAAGGTTTTCTCCTGCTGATCCCTGTGCTGGCAGTGTTTGTATGTGAGTTATAACTTCACAAGGCTGGGTTTCTTTGTAGGAGCTGAGGAGGAGGAGCATCCCCACTGGAACACGGAAAATGCCCCCAGTTTTGGGCTTGGGAGCAATGCTGCTCTTTGAGTCCTGTCTTACAGCCAGGATACATTATTTGATATAATTTGATATACATTATTTGATATTATTTGATACAATTTGATATACATTATTCGATATAATCAAAAATATTGGTTAAAAATCCAATTCTGACAATGCAGATGATGCCACTTCCTCCTACCCTTCCATCCTGATCATAGAATCATGGAATCCCATATTGGCTTGGGTAGGGAGAGACCTTAAAGCCCACCTCATTCCACTCCCCTGCTGTGGGCAGGGACACCTTGTTGCATAAAAAGTCGTTTTTATTTTTCCTATTTAACTTCTCCCAATAAAGTCCTGGAGAACATTAGGCCCAAGGAGGCTCTGACTGTTGCCTGTGCCCCGTGTAATCTGTCACGTGTGGTTAGGACTGGGAATTAGACACCCTAAGCTGAAGTGCCTCCTCCCAGCGCCACCAGTTCGCAGATCCCAGCGCCTTTTGCTTTTTCCTTTCATTCCCAAACAGCAGCTTGGGGCTCTCAGTTCCCTGTTTGGAGGAAGCAGAGACTCAGGAATGATTCGGAGAGTAAAACAACAGGGTGATAAGCAGTGAAGCTGCTGCCTGGGAGGTGAGAGAGCAGAGGCACAGCTGAGTCAGCCTTGGTGTCCCTGGGTGAAGGAGCCAGAGCCAGCAGGAGGGGTGTGGGTGAAGCCAGGGTTAAGGATCGTGGCAATCCAGAGGCAGAGGAGGGATGTGTTGTCTTCATGCAGGTCTGCCTGAGGGTGCAAGGGCAGACAAACACAAAGAGGAAAAAGCTATATAAGCTAGAAAATGAACTCAGTCTAAAAACAAAAGTTTGGAGGTCAAAAAGCAGAGGAATATGCGCAGAGTGCCAAAATCCAGCTGGGACCAAAGCCTTGTTGTCAGGGGAGCTGGGGGCACAAGGGATGTGTCTCCATCTCTACAGCCTGACCTGCAGCACATGCTGGAATGCCTCTGGCCAGTCATCACCACCAATTGCTCCAGGGGAGCTTCAGGTTGGATATTAGGTGAAATTTCTTCATGGAAAGGGTTATCCTGGCACAGCTGCCCAGGGCAGTGGTGGAGTCCCCATCCCTGGAGACATTTAGAAGCCCCGTGGTTATGCCTCTTGGGAAGTTCAGTGGTGGCCTTGGCAGTGCTGGGGGAACAGTCTTACGGTCTTAAAGGGCTTTTCCAACCTAAATGATTCCATAATTCTATTTCCAATTGTATGTTTACAGCATCACTTACTGCTTGCCTGCCTGGAAGTGCCCGAGGTGTGCTTGGATCAGCACACTGCCCTTTTCCCAGCTCTGCAAAGCTTTAACATGCTACATCTCTGCTGAATCCACTCAGCATGTAACCTTCTCCAGAAAAAAAAAAAAAAGTTAGAGAAAAGGAAAAAAAAAAGCTGGCTGAGGTTTGTGCTGGGTGGCTCAGACCTGCAGACTCCAGATCCCAATCCATGCCACATTTTAGACGATGTGATATGTCTGCCTCCATCCTCATCCTTTCCTGAGTCTCTGTAATCCCAAAAATAACCCAGCAGGGCCCCGTAGCGTCGCGCAGTTCCCAGGCAGCAGCAGCGTCCCAACCCATGGCCGTCGCCCCGTGACCCGGGATTGCCGCTGGATGACGAGCGGAAAACCGGCGTGCGGGACACGGCCGGGCTCCCCATCGCTGTGCAGGAGCCGGGAGAGGAGGATGCACGGGGCTGAGGAACAAGGTAAGCAAAGCTTCCATGAGATTTCCATGGAAGACCAGCGAGACGGGGCGCGAGCAAATTTGGGGATGTTGTTTACGGCACATTTGTGCTGAGTAATCACCGAGAAGACACGGTGGGATCCCGCAGCTCTGGATAAAGCAAAAAACCCCCCTGCTTTAAAGCCTGATTATATAATAGGGTTGAGGGAAGGAATTGCACAGAAAACTGCTTCTGCTGGCAGGGCAGCACCTGCTGGGAAGGTGCTGAAATTTGGGAAGGTACACCTGGGCATGGAAGGTTTGATAACCCTGAATGCCGCCGGCTCCGCAGACCTCGATAGGAACATGAGCATCTCTTCTTGCACCCCAAAACAGGGGCTTGTGCATTTAGGGCTGTGAGAGCTATTTAGGCTGATTGAATTAAAAAAAGCTGATTTTTCAGGCTTAAAATAAGAAGTGTAATGGATTATTACTTATATAGCTTCTATGTGGACGGAACTGTCCCTCTTGCAGGAGAGGGGTTGGTGGAGATGTCGGTATAGAAATGCCTTTCGCTGCGAATTCCCCGCGAAGCTGACCTTCAACCCCCCCATTTTGTTATGCTGAGGCAAGCACAGAGCTGCATTGCCTTTAAAAACCCCTTTTCAGGCCAAAAAAAGAGATTAAATATGTAGCTAAATGCAGACATCCCTGCCTTTGCTGTGGTCCTGCTGAGCCAGCCCCAGCCGGGTGCTCTGGGAGGGGACAGAAGGGACAGGGTGTCTGTGGGGGCTTTCTGCCCTCTGCAGCTCCAGGTAGGTGTTTATCCCCCTTGGCATCACCACGGGAACACTGTGACTTTAAACCAGGACATATTTCATGTCTTGCTGGTGTACTTGTGCCTGTTTTTACTATAGTCTTGTTTTGGATACTGCCTAGGAGAGGAGGAGGAGGAGGAGAGGGAGGAGGAGGAGGAGGAAGGTGAGGGATATTTCGATCAGGTGTGCAAACTCCAGACTTTATTCTCCTGCATTTGGACCAGGGCCTCCATCTTCTGCTATCCCTCCAGCCGCATATTTCTGTTTGTCATAGCCATCCCTAAGGAAAAAAAAAAAATAAAATCAGCGTACCCAGCAATTCCGGTGGCACAGGCGGCACGGCGGCCACCCGGGTGGCACTATATTTAGCCAGCCGTGACACAGCCGCCTTGTTTGTGATCCCAGAAATGCTCCCAGCTGATAGATGCAGCATTTTGGAGTGGCTGCAGCCATTAAGGAGGAACTGATTTTGTCCTTGAGCCCGGTTTTTGCCGGCAGCGTAAGTGCCAATGTTTAATTGCTGACCCAACTAATCTGCCGTGCCGACGGCTTTGCCCTGCTGCAGCCTAATCCCGGGGCCTCTCACTGCACCCGCGGCCTGCCAGTGCTCAGAGCTGGGTTTTTGGGGCAGGATTTGTTGAAATCCATCCTGCTTTGCTGTAAAAATATGGTAGCAGCCTGTGGAGTATGAGGAAGAGGGAATCGTTGGATCGTGGGGATGGAGAGATTGGTACCCCGATGTGCCACGTAGGTTTTGGGGTGAAAATTGGGCTGTTGGGGCTTGACACTGTGGGTTTTACCAGAGCCCCAGCTCTGATCAGGTGGCTGAAAATCACCTTGTGAAGGGAATTAGCACCGACAGCATGAGAGGGATGTAGGAAGGGATATAACCCATCCACAATGAACAGCTGGACCCAAAGGAGTGGCTACTACTCTCCCAGAATCACAGAAATCATTCAGGGTGGAAGAGACCTATAAGATCATCGAGTCCAACCATCAACCCAGCCCTGTCAAAGTTCCAGAGATGATGGGATGCTCCAGAGATTAGGAGATATCAGAAGCTGCTACAGAGCTTCTCATGGGGGGGTCTGATCATTGCTGTATGTGTGGCATTTCATTGTGCTCAGATTTGGGGGAACAAGGTCTGGAAATCCCAGCTGTGCCTGTACCAGACAGAGATATTGTAATTCCCATCTGCCATAAAAATTAGATTATAGAAGATTCTTCAGGGGTGGAGAAAGCAGCCGTGGGAAGCTCTCCACATTAAAATGCTATAAACAGTAGTTTATTATTTATATGAAAGTATAAATAATTAATGCATTATGCTAATATTTATATTAAGTTAATATTTTATAGTATTTTTAGTATTTTATCATAATTTTAAATATTATTATACTGAACTATAAACAATATTTTATGAGCCCTTACAGTAGTTTACATCCCAATAGTGTATGAGGCCCTGTTTGATAGGCACTTTAAATGACATATGGATTTCTTTCTACTGAATAAATCCTTGTCTCCAGTAGCCAGAAATAATGAGGATGGGAAATTATATCATTTACATCCCTGAATTATGGCTGGGAAGCAGAGATACGGAGAAATTGGGTATGCAGAACAAAGTCAGACAGGGAGACTGAGGCAAGGACCAGGATTTGCTCCAAACCCTCTGAAATGGGATTTTTGCCATGCAGGGAACTTGGGAATTTATTCCCTTTCCCAAATCATGTGTAAAGCAAAAAAAAATGACCCAACACCCACTTGAATTCCTTTTCCAAGTAATAGTTTTCATGGAAAACTTTCCAGATAGAGCAGTTTGCTCTCAACTAGCAGAGGTTTCCTTGTGGTTTGATGTCTGTGTGGGGGTCTCTTATCCAGGCATGGTGGGGTGGGATGCACCAGGCTCTCCCATTTCCTCTCGGCACACATTTCCTCCTGGAATTTCTTTTCCACCCTGACAGATTTTTGCAGGTATTTAAACTGAAGCACAACCACACACAACTCCCAGCCTGGGAGCCACACGGTGTAATTATTCCAAAGCCACGTGGTGCAGACCAGCCCCTGCAATATTGCTTTCTGCTGAGTCAGCACGATTCATCTGCATGTCCATGGAGCTTTTGTGTCTTGAAGGCATTCCAGTAGTGCACTCCCAGATGAGAGACCAAGCTGTGGGATCCACAAGAGCCTGATTCAGTCAGTGCTGTGGGAAACAGCAAAGTGGGGTTTGTTACCTGTCCTGGTGCAAATGGGTCACCAGGAGAAGGATGAAGGTGTCCATCCCCAGCCTTATCCTTGCCTGGCTCCAAGGGGTTGTGATGTCCCTGAGGACCAGACTTCTGGCATCCTGTATCCAAAGCCATAGAAACCTGGAATGGTTTGGGTTGGAAAGGACCTTAAAGTTCATCTCGTTCCACCCCCTGCCATGAGCAGGGATACCTTCCACTGTCCCAGGTTCCTCCAAGCCCTGTCCAACCTGGCCTTGAACACTTCCAGGGATAGGGCAGACACAGCTTCTCCTGGCAACCTGTGCCAGTTGCAATCTATTCACACTCCAATGCAACTGGGTGTCTCTCCCCTTGAACCACATCCCAAACTGCAGAGAACCACATGGATTGAACCACCACCGTGGGCGACAGCACATCAGCCTTGTGGAGTCTGCTTGAGTATCACTCTGGAAACCATGAGTGTTATAAATCTGAACCCGAACTGCCTCAGGATGATGGAGATTGCATGAGCTGAGACAGACATAATTTTTAAATGTTTTATATTGCAGCCAGAACTACAAAGCCCCAATAATATAATTTTTCCCTTTAGTATTAGATAAAAATTGTGCTACCAAATTCTGGCAGATGGTAGAACCACATTAATAGGGAGGTGTTGGGTTTCTGGCCAACCCTCCTGTGCCATCAGATTCACCTGTACCTCCCCACCCTGTCCCTTATGACCTCTCTTCCGTATCCATGCAAGACAATCTGTCCCATTGAAACCTGGAGTGAGGATGTTTCCCCTGGCCCATTCCTCCCCTGGAAACTCTCATCCCATACATCCTAAAGTGCAATAACCATGGGAGTGGACGAGGTGGGTGACAATCTTCAGCATGTGTAGGCAGTGCCAGCTGTGATTTCCCTCTGTTTTCATGGAAAAACTTCTTTCATTGAGGGATCCTTGTTTGGAGCTACCTGAGAGCCACGACCTGACCATTTTCATTAAGTTATTTGCTGCTGGAGCCTGACCCTGAGCACAGCAGCTGGAGCTGATGCAACCCCAGGACGACACTTGGTTGTATAATTTTTCTCCCTGTTTTTACCAACGGCTATTTTCCAATGCAAACAACACCCAATGCTCAGATTTTTCTTAGGATTTAACCACTTACCTCACAGTGAATGGGAAGTGATGAAAAAATGATAGTTAGGCCACAAAATATCTGATTTTTACCGAAATACCTGATTTTTTGAATGGCTATGCAGCCTCCAGTTTTCCAACAGGGACTTCCTGAGCCAACAGTTCCTATTTAACGGCCTCTTATAGATCCGCTTCCCATACATTTATCCTCTTTCTTTGTGAACCATGTACATTTTTAGCATCTCCAACAGCCCTTGGCAAGCAGTTCTGCAGCTCAGCATTGCTGAGGAGCCACGAAAATCCTTGAATACTCCAAAACAAAGTCTTGGGCTGGAATGAGTAAATTGTGTATCATCCCTGACAGCACTTTAACAAGACTAAAAGGCATGAAATAAAAAATATGCTGACACAGCACTACACTTGATGGTGTGGGCTCTCACAGAGAGGAAAGGATGGGACAGAAGATAGAGAGAGAGCTGAACACTTGTCACATCCTAAGTCATCCTCAGTGGGGACACTTGAGCAGCTGAAGCTCCAGCTGCCAGCCAGGCACTGACATTGTGCTGGGTTTCACTGCAGCAAAGGCTTGAGGCTTCTTCTAATGAAGGAAAACAAAGGTTAAATTGAGTCTAATGCTTAAAACCAACTCAAACCATCTCAGAGGTCTGTTTGCTTTTTGTTAGAGATGAACAAGACAGGAAGACCCAGATTGGAAGTTCCTGAAAATCATGGCAGGTTAATAAGGGATTAGGTCATTTAACCTACCTTCATGTCCACATGAATCCCCACACAGCAGCCCTGTTTGCCCCTGGCACACCACATCCCACGCTGGGAACACTGCACTGCTCATAGGCAGGCTGTGACAGCTTCTTATTCCTCCAGCAAA